CGGGAGCTGCCGGCTGGGGGGTGACAGCCCTGCCCTCGCCTTGGAAACGCGAGGAGGGCTGGGATGCGGTGTCTGAACGCATCCAACGGATGCTCCTGATGGAGCAGGTACAGCCCTGGTGACTCCACTCACAGCTGGGGGAGTTCAGAGAGGTGAAAACCTGAAAACCCGGTGTCGTGGTTGTGCTGCTGCTCTTCCCCTCCTTTAAGGGCAGCTGAAACATCCCAGAATTACCTTCCAGCTGGAAAATGGGCCACAGAGCAAATCCTCCATCCAGCTCTGGCAGAGAAAAGCCTTCAACACCTTTGTGGCTTCTCTGTTCCCCACGCCCAGAGTGGGAAAACCAGACCACGAGCTTGAAACCTTCCTCAGGCTGGGAGAGCTGGGGGGGTTCACCCGGAGAAGAGAAGGCTCCAGAGAGACCTGAGAGCCCCTTCCAGGGCCTAGAGGGGCTCCGAGAGAGCTGGAGAGGGACTGGGGACAAGGCATGGAGGGACAGGACAAGGGGGAATGGCTTCAAACTGACAGAGGACAGGGTCAGATGGGATATTGGGAAAGAATTCCCAGAGCTTCCTTGAAAACACTCAGGTTGTGCTGTGTTTTGAAAATACAATTCCCATCGCACATGAGACCCACCAAGAACATTCTGGGTGACCTGCCAGGGTGCTCAAGGGGTTGGCAGAGCCAGCCATCCCCCCCCAGTGATGATGCCACCAGCAATGGCAGCACAAAGCACAGGGCCCAGGCTGCCAGGAATGGCAGTGAAAGGCTGCTCTGATGCTGATATCCCCCTGGAAGTGGCCCAGGTGCCACTGTCCTGGATCTCTGTCCGGGGCCACGGGCAGAACCTTGGAGAAACAGCACCATCTGTTTGCAGCATTGCTGCACCAGAGCAGAGGTGACAAGGTGGCCTCCAAAGGAGGGTGTCCGTGACCCGTGAGCAGGGCTGAGGGTCCCACCCTGGAGCCAAGGGCTTGGTGCAGCATCCTCTGCTGTCCTGGGCCAGGTTGGGGCCCCCTGAGCTGCAGCCCCTCCTGCAGCCCTCAGGTGACACCTGGGGCTTGCTCCAGTTCAGGGCTGTGAGTAGGAGTTACAGGGGGTGTGTGCAGGGACCAGGGAGGGGACAGCCACCAAGGGTCTGCAGGGAGATCAGGCAGCTCCAGGCTGGGGGCTTCAGCTCAGGTTTGGCTCTTTCCAAGGCAGGGTCTGCCCTTCTGCTCCCAAAAACATTCACCCTGAGGGCCACATGGGTCTCAGCCTGTTCCCCACGTTTCCCCATCGCTGCCTCAGGCAGATACCAGCCCATTGGGGGCCCAGAGCTGGCTGGTGGGGCAGAGATCCCAAGAAGGTGTTGGCCCCACAGGACCAACGGGGACAAGGCCAGCCTGTCCCCATCTTTGCTCCAGCTGGGAAGCTGTGCCCACCCAGCCCATCCCCACCTCTGTGGGGGGAGCAGCTGGGCAAGGGGCAGGGGCTGCCCCCAAACCCAGCTCAGCCCCTCAGTGCTGGGCCCCCCACGTGTTCTGGGTGACAGAAGTGACAAAAAGACCACCCATTCCAGCTTTGCCACAGAACTGGGAGGAATGAAGAAGATCTGCTTTAATAAACCTGCTGGGGAAAGGGCACGAGGGGGGGCCTGGGGCTCCCAAAGCTACTTCCTTTTGCGGCGTTTGGTGTTCATCCTGACCAGCTGCTGCCCCTGCTTCTTGATGTC